CATTGCATATTTGTGTTTATAAAAGGTTTGCGATGACTGCTATGAATGAATCCAAAAGAAAGCCTTTTAAATTGATCTAATTATAGCTACTCGGCTAATTTAAAAAGGTTAAGAGGTCAGTTGGATGCTACATGAAGAAGAATTGTGCGCAGCAATTTTTCATTTCGATCTCTCGCTGTCATAATTCCTATGACCCCCTCTTAGCCAATTATAACTAATTTCAGTCATTTAATTGACATTTCCTGACCTTTACAGTGGAATCATAATAGTAGTAAGAAAGTAATAAATGACAGAAATGAAAATTATAAACAGAAATATATCAGCAACGTCAATAATTGAAACAGTTGTACAACATATCTCGTAATGCTAGCTGTGCTTTAATCTGAAATTATGTAAAGTATAATACTTAATAGTTCTGAAGTTATCAAATGTTTACTTTTCTTCTTAGTCATATTTAAGTTTGATTGCAAAAACAATGCATTATTATTCAAAGTATTATTATTATCACTTTAAATCATGTTCAATCGTTTTTAAATTTTGTAACTTTATTAAGAAAGACATAAATAGCATAATTGCATTAAGAAATAATTTAATCTGCATAAACGTGTACTTAGCACTGCAAAAGACGGAGTTAATTTCAGGCCTTAGAAAGGTAGAAGGAAATAAAAGGTGCAGTCATGCATATTTTCGAATCTGCTGATTTTAACGGTCTAAATTTAATTGTTGTTATCGTTTTGTGTTTCAAAAGAATAGCAAATCAAACTTAAAGCTTAGAAATGAATTACTGTCTTCTTCAATAGTGCCATTGCAAATATCACATCAAATTCTTGAATGAATATTCATTCGTTTTTTTTTTCAAAAGTTTTTTTGATAAAGTTTATAAATTTAATTCCGAATTAATAAATGTCACATGAACGTGCGATTCTGTAAAAGTTCAAATTTAAGTTTTCGAATGATAAACTATTGAACAGTTGTTAAAAATCATTTGAACCAATCAGCACAAAATCTGTACGAGGCAATATTTTTGTGCAAAATAAGATATAATCAAATGACGTTGTTATAATAACAAATTAAATTGTCTCAGCTGTGCAAAATTCGAGCAAACAGAATTTCACCTTGGAATCCGTTCAATGTCAACTACATTTTCCGAGTTTCATTTTGTCATTGTTATGGTTTCCAATGCTATTATTGTGATTATTATTGCGATTAATATTGTGATTATTTCTTAGACAAGAAATTTAATGATAATAATTAGCAATTTACTTCGAAAAACAATCTATTAAGTGAAAGTATTCAGAATCGAAAATAGCAGTAAAGAAATAAATAGCAATTAATTAGCGTATCATAACAATTGCTACCTTTCATTGGCGCCATTTACTTAGTCTATTTTCAGATCCACACTACTTTCAAGGTCATTTTTAATCTCAGATAACTTTTGACTTCTTGACCTATGTTCTGTTTTCACTTAATAAATGATCATTTTAAAAAAATTTTTGAGTAACGAAGAAATGAGTTTTTTTTTTGCAATTTTATTGAAGGATGAAAAATTTATTAGGACCGGAAAACATGGAGATTATTTTCAAGCAAAAAGTAGTATTTAGAAGAATTATTTTCCAAGTAGACAGTGGACAGAATGGTCACTTTCAGCTTCCGGAAAGAATTTTTTTGACTTAAAATTATATACTAAACAAAGCAACAAATTTTTTTCCTTCTGACAGCAACCCTCCAATTTCCTTTTTTTTTTAAAGTAATCATTGATTGGACTGATTTATGCGTAACACTGCACTTTGAAGCTAATGACAAAACTTGTAACAGTAAGAAAGTAAGTACAACGGTAATAGTATGAACGAGTATAGTGTGAAACAATGAAAATAGTTAATTAATAGAAATCATTACAGTAAGTATAAACTTCCACCTGTTAAATTTGAAAATGAAAATACAACATTTGATAATTAATGATTATATGGATTCTGTAAAGGTAATGACATTCACGCAAAGATAAAGTGAAAAATTCAAAAATTTTGGACAAAGCAAAAACTAAAAATTCTCTGCCAAATGAAAAATTCATTCAAAGGCAGTAGTTGAATTAGCGAAGCCAACTTTTTGGAATAGCTTTTAAATGAAAAATAGAAATAATTAGTCAGCCATTCAAAACAACAATAAAACGAGCATTTATTGACATTAGTTCCCTTTCTGAATCCATCAGAATTTTATATACATTATTCACAGGTGCACAAAAAACTAGCCTTTAATTTCGCTCAAAAAAAGACAAAAATTTGTCAGCAAAAATATAATTATACCGTCACCAAATTTGATGAAAATTTTGTACTCCAGCAAATGATCAGTGCAATGTATAATAATATTCTAAATGCTGCAAGGAGTTATTTCTGTAAAGCATTTCTAATTGATCTATCCAAAAGATTCAAAAATTTTTTCTTCTCATGCCTTGTCTTTTTTTAGTTCTTAATCTCCTTAGCTCAGTGAGTTTTTGTCACCATTTAATCAAAAATTATCCCTTTATTTATCATTGTGTACATTTGTCTTCCACTGATTAATAGGCACAACAATAGATACTTGTACATGCCCATTATGAGAATATTCATAAGTAATTTGTAAGTATGTGTATTACAAATGCTACTGTATGTAAATCGAATGCATGTGAGCATCTTCATATTTTTGAGCATATAATTAAACACATGTAAATATTTAATACTTGCAATGTAGTTTAAAGCAAAGTATATATGTATTAAGTATATGTCAGTGCATTATAGCGCATGTGTGTATGCAAATAATTAGATGCTGCAATTGCCAAATGTATGTCATTTAGACAATTTGTTATTAGGCTCCACCTTCAATTGAAGCAAATAGCCAATGAAAGACATTGAAATGGAAGTTAAATGGCTAAAAGGTGCAATCAAAACGATTCGTTGCCCTATTAGAGATATTCATAGGCACAATAGTCCCGCCTTCCCACCATTTTTCACTGTCATTACGGTGGCAATGAGTTGCATCCTTCCAAGATTTACCTCCATTTTATCAATGCTCAATCTTTTTTCAAAATTTATCTTACGAATAGTTTTTCTATCGATTACATTTGTTACCAAAACTAATTAGAATCAAACGCCACAACTAAATACTTAAGAAATGGAGTCGATACGTAATAAGTCACTGATTTCCTGTAGTATAGAAAGTGATTTTGATCATTTTTTCACTGACTATTTAATTTTGTCAAATCAATCTGAATATTATTGATTATAGTAAAAAATGACTGACATAACATTAAAGTATTTGCAATTATCTGTAATTGTGGCTAAAGGATCCAATTTTGATTATTTATTGCCAAAATTATTGAAACTTTATCTGAAAATGATTAACAAATTCCTTTTCATATAATATAACGTTTTTTCTGCTCAGCAATTTTTTTTTCTGAAATTAAAATTAAATAATATGTGCTTTTTGTAATAAGTCAAATAAGTATGTCTTTTCACTCAGTGCTAGCCTTAAGAAAATGAATGGTGTTGACTGAAAAGATAACGCCATAAATTTTCATATTTATATTTTCGTGAAGAAAAAGCAATTTTTAAAATGTTAAGTTCAGTTTTTAAACTAATTTTTTCAAAATATAGCTGAATTTTTTAATTCTTTTTAAAGACATAAAATTTCATTTTGAAAAATATGTTCACTCTTTTAACAAACGTTTAAATTAAATTTTGATTATCAATAACAAGTTTCTTCTCGAATCATAAACCAGTAACTGTGAAAAGTGATTTTAGTCAAATCTATTTGAATAATTACTATCATTAGAGTTTTTTGGAATTAAAAAAAAATCTGAATAGAAAGTTTAAAAATGAAAACATATTTTTGTGTAATCAAATTGCTGAATTAATTTGAATAAATGAGGCCGCATTTCAAGAACAAGCATTTTAGTTGTTAGAAAAAATAAATTTTTAACTTTTTATTATGGTACTTCATGTCAGATTAGTAAATTTTCGATGGCATTCACACATTTATTAGGATTTGCGATTACTTTTACAATTGTTGCGAGTGACAAAAACATAAGATTAGATCTTTATGTTGTGAAAAATGACATTAATATTTCATGCTTCAAAAATAATAATGTAATGAGCCAACAAGCTTGAGTTTCTTGTTGGCACTTTGATTCAAATTTGTTGTATTTACAGTAAAAAAATTGCAATCCATTTACTTTGAAAAATGGAATGTAATTGGTTGTCATTGTTGCTGATAAAAGAGCATAATTATTTTGGTTTTACTTATAATAACTAGAGAGCGTCACAGTCATAATTTCATGTTCTCTCTATTTGTTAAACAGAAAATATTGTTGTAACAAAAACAAAATTGCATACTTGAAGCAGTTTTCCATTCATCAACTGTGTAAAAATTTTTATTCGGCGCAATTTATTTACTTTTTATACAAAAAGAGATATCATGAGTGATTGCTGTGTCAGTTTGAAGAATTGCAATGAAATAAATCATATCTCACTTGTTTTTTGAATCTATTAGGCTTGGATAATTGAATAGAACACATAGTCAGTCCGAAAATGTGGTACACTTTTGCAAGATCATGGAAATTTGAGAATGTAAAATAGCTGCATTTAATACAATTTATTTTTTAAATTAACATCTAAATGTATCTTCCAAAACAAACAAAATAAAGTATAGCAGTGCATGATATTAAAATTTTGTTAATTTAGTGTTTAAGACTATGAGGTTCTGAGGGTACTCGTATTTAATACTATTATATTTTTTTGTTACACCATTAAATAGATGTTCTAAAGACATCAAAATATTTTATAAGCGTAAATCAGCGTATTCTTGAGATTAAAATGCAAAGAAATGATGATATTTTGTAAATTCATTTAATTATGGCTTTTTAATATTTGGTTGCTTTAATTAGTTCCATTTTTAGTGCTTATATTTACTTCATACGAATGTTCCATACAAACTGCATGCTTTAGGTACAGTTGCTGATTTTATTTGTTATGAATCTGCTGGATCCACGTCAACTAATGATGAATGCTTTTGCATACAGTGTTGTAGATCCAGCATCAATTACAATTCTAAATACAACTTCTGGCACTCAAAATAGTAACGCTGGAAAAATGGTTACTTCTAGTGGAAATAGTTCTGGTAATAGCAGTTTTCGAATTTCTGATATTCTTGAATCAACAGACAACAAAGCCAATACCAGTGGAGAAAACGGTAAGCAAAATTGCAACATTTATTCAGCAATTAGTACTCTAAGAATTTTCGGAATGAAAAAATAAACCGCAGCATAAATTGTGGTAAGCTTATCAGTATATTTATGTTTATATTCACCAATATTTGGATATTACTAGTATTCATATACTAACCAACGAGAAATTGTACATAGCATAATTTACGCAAATTTGGCAGTATTTGCTTGGCATAGTTTGACAAACAAAATTCTGCAAAAAAAAGCTGGCTTACGCTCAGCTATCTACTGAGTTTCGCTTAATGCGTCCCTAAACGCACTAAATTCCATGTTGAAGTTATCTATCTGGCTTAGTCTTTGATCCATTGAAAAATATAGTATAAAAGTAATGTTAACAAAACTAGTATAAAGCAAATGGGAATAATTTACACCAGTTGGTAGAAAAAATAAAAAATTTTTGAGAAATTTCAAAAAATTGCTCAATATTTTGTGATACCGTAATCACAATTTTGCTGAGAATCAATGATAGCGTCAAGTAAGTAAATACTGTTTGCATTAATTTTTGTAAGAAGTATAAAAATATTAAGTACATACTAGATAAAATCATGATAATAACTATTTTAATCAAAACTAAGTATATAATAGATAATTAAACATCTGCTCCTTCACTTCCCCATTTTCAATTTTTCCTGAAATCATGAAGAAATTGTAGCAAAATAAGACATGCAAACTGCGTCATTACTTTAAATTTATTTTCCAACTTGGATAGTTCATTAGAGTTCTCATTTGGACTTTATTTTCAAGCTTTACCCTATCTAGAATTGAGCTGTTTACATTGATTTTTATAAGCATAAAAATATTAAGTGCATATTAGATAAATTCATGGTAATAACTATTTTAATCAAAACTAGGTATATAATAGATAATTAAACATCTGTTATTGAAAAATTATTATACTTCTGAGTCTACCTGAAACAGATCCGTTGATTCAACAACCAAAAATGGCATTTGAGAATATCTCACATAAACTTGCTTAATGTTTGAAGCAAAAATACTTCAGAGAAAGCATATACAATTATTTTCTTTCTAATTAAATTGATTGACAATTTTGTGAAAATTTTTATAATTTTCCTTCTTCCTCCTTATTAATCAATTGTGCAATGAAAAAGCCAAAGTGGCAAAGTGGTGATAATCACAAGTAAAAGTAATGGTTAGGTTAATCCATTCAAATGCTAACAATGTGATTTGCTGTAATTGAAGCGGAAAATACCTGTTTGCACAGGTAATTTTATGCCCCACAATAATATCTTCAGGCGACAATCTGCAGTTTTCTTTTGCTCCCTGATATCTCTCGTTAATATCGTGAACTCATTTTGCTCTCGAATAATATGCGTCACTCAGTTCACTCTCGAAAACTCACTTTCGTCTTTTAATTTTCATTGGCCAATATATACATGTATATAATCAAACCCGTTAATACTGGATTTTATTAGCAATCATTATTTCTCAGGGATGACCGCTAAATGGATTATAGTCACAATTGTGATTATTTATTTAGGACAGATGGAAATTGAGAAGAAGAAGAAAGAATGAGTAGTTGATAAAAGGCTGCTTGTACAAGCAGATAATCTTTTGTATTATATGTTTTTTCTCTTGTTACTTGGGATTAGTCAATGAAAATTGGTATCATTTGCATGGAAGAGTATGAGATATCTGTGGCTGCCTGCCGAGGGGAGTTCAGCTGAAAGGTTAGGATCAAATTTTGCAAAATGAATTTGCCTGGATTAGTAAAACGGATTATCGGATGATCAAGATGAGATTTGTTCATTACTACTCATTAACTAATTATCTTTCAAATACTTTTGTTAGTCAGCTACTCCTCTTGTTATTATTAATATAGATACCATTTCCTATTGTTTGATTGCAGTCATTTACATATGCATTTATTTATGAATATTATTGTATATAACAAGAAGAGGGATTGCAATAGATTAAACTTATGCAAAATGTGAAATTTCATTGGTTCAAGTTTTTCTTTACTATTCACTTTATCAATTGCATTTGATAATTGCGTTTTTTGAGTAAGATTCATTCGTTACTGCTTGAAAATTGATTGATTTTGTTTACATTTTTTTAATCATTTATTATTTTAGAAAATGATTTTGATAGCTTACAAAATATATTTAAATGCGTTGTTACGAACAGAAATTCCAAGACTTTTAAAATTAAAACAGTTTGGCAATCGATATGCAAAAATATGAAAGCAATTTTTTAATATTTGAAGTCATTTCTCATCTCTAATATTTTTCAGTCCATATTGGGTTATTAAATCTCAAAACCTTTAACAGAGATCCATGTTTTTGAAGCCTTCATGAGAATATTTAAATGCAATTTAGTGCAACACTAAACTGTGACATTGGATTATTTAGACTATTAATTGTGGCTTATTCAAATCTGAAGCTATAAATTCATGATGACTAAATTATCACAATTAGCACATCAATAATTCGCAAAAAATTTTTAATAGGTTATATATTCAAGGTTAACAGTGCAATACTATTTTTTCAGAATTATCATCATTAGGAGAAGATGAACGCAGTGGGTCAACAGGGTCACATCGTTCTGGTGGCAGTCCGCATTCTCACACTTCTGCTGGATGCGGAAAAAAAGCACGCAAGGCGCGAACAATTTTTACTGATAAGCAGTTACAGGTCAGGATCATAGCAGAGCTATGCAAGCTGTTTTTATACAATTACTCTGTGGAAAAACGTAATTTAAAAAATTTATTGAGACTTGAAAGTTACGACTGGAAACTGCAGGAACTAGAAGCAACATTTGATAAACAGAAGTATCTCAGTGTTCAAGATCGAATGGATTTAGCTCAACGCATGGGTCTTTCCGACACACAAGTAAAGACGTGGTATCAGAATAGAAGGTAAGCTTTATGTTGCATCATTTGTATAATTATGCTTATTAAGGGACGTGTAGCAGCTTACAGAAGTTTTTTTTTATCCTAGAATTTTTGTTGAAAATTCAAAACTTCTGGAAGCAAAAAATGAAAATATTTATTTAGTAGTCTTTAATTAAAAAATTAGTAGTCTTAAATTAAAAAATTTCATTGATTTCTAGCAATGAAGTTTGAGACTGCATATTCATCTTTGTTCAATTGCTTAAAAGACTACTACGAAAAAATTGGTTTTATAAATAACTGAATAAATTAGTGCATAATCAAAGAGATCTCTGTGATACTTTTTGATATATGAATAAATCTCACAAAAATTCACATTTCTAGACCTGATACAGCTTCCAACGTATGTTTTGAGAACTCTAAATTCATCATACATAATTTTCACGCTATGTAAAATTTTTCATACTGTAGTCCCTCAAACTACCGTAAATATCTTACTGGACCTTGTTTTTTCTTTCAAGTAATTTAAGGTAATTTTGTTATTGTTCACAAATAATAGAAAAGTACATAAATTAATAGAAGCTAGAAAACGTGGTTAGTAGGCTTTAGCACAAAAAGCGTTCATTCTAGCATGAAATTGGAAACAAAAGAAGATGGATCACATTTGGGAAGGTATATTAGCGTGAAATGCGTTGTGTTAATGCTTCCTTCCACTTATCAGCTTGTTTGTCTCACCTTTTTTCATCAAAAAATTATTTGTTTGCGTGAATTCGAAGCGTCCAAGCAAAAAGGCTTTGTCTAGTAACATTTACAATGCAAGCTAGTTTTAAATAATCCATACTTGTGTTTTTATAGAGCTTAAAAATTTTTAAACTTTTTACTAAATTTTTGTGATTACGAACTTATTATAATAATAATTTATATAAAATTAGTCTGGCAAAGTGTCAAAAATTTTTCATTCATTTTTTGCAATGTTCACAACCCACTTGTGCATTCATCACAAGTTTATTCAAATTTGCTAAAATTTTAATTTATTACTTACTATCAAGCGGGGTCAAGTAGTCTTTGAAAGGTGCTGCATGTGATATGCAGTGATTAGGATTAACTTCGTTTTTCTCATCATGAAGTGAACTTACTTCTGCGTTCAAATTTTCAGCAAACTGTTTTAAGAGTACAATTTTTCAAATGTAAATTATAAATTTGTTCGTTACAATTCTGTATTTTTCATGCATAAGTTTGTAATAATATTTGAAAATTGATTTCTTACTTGCAAATATTCAATTTTTAAAAGCAAAAGGTCACTTGTAATTACTAAAAAATAAAGTTACAGAACGAAATGGAAAAGACAAGCAGCAGTTGGCATGGATTTACTGAACGAAGCCTCGAACGTGGCAGCTATTCAACAACTGCTTCGAACTAATCCTTATTGGGCCAATTACCTTGCAGCTAATGCAGTAAATCACCCAAGACTGTTTCCATCAACCCTTCCCATTGGCTTACCGGTGACTACGCCAAACAGTTTATCTTCTCCTGCAGTGATGCCCCTTGCAATACCATCTCCAGCTCCTACTTCACCTATCACTTCTGTACCTTCTGCTTCAAATACGGTAATTACCGGTAGTACAAGTTCGTTACCACTAGCCATGTTTCCATTTCAGATTCCAACTTCTAGCTTCACTTTAAATCTCGTACAAAACTCACCGTTAACAGTTTCTACAACAGACCGACCCAAAATTTTTCAACCAGCTCCCCCACAATCAACTACACCCATAACCATCACAAATGTGAAATTATCTGAACCTGATTGATAGTTTTACTCTTTGTTTTGTATTTTCTTCGCAACAAAAGTTTTTCTACCAGTTACCATTATCATTTCATATCATCTAAACTAACTAACAGTTAATTATTGATGTTGATATAACAAAACTTGTAAGAGATATTTTTTAACAATTTGAGTAATATATGCTTCAAAAACTTGGTGAAAATGATTATTTGAAAAGTTCTTCACACTGCAAACTCGGCATACAATGATGAATACTTCATTTGAACACAAGCAATTGAATCTTCCTGTCTTATGCACTGAATATTTTCAAATGATCCAAATTTGCATTACGTGTTACTTAAATGTCATACGTGTTTTTATAATAACTGTGATGCTTGTATTTTCGATTTTCCACTTTGTTGTGTATAAACCAAGTACAGTATTAAAGTAAACAATATTTTTTTATTTCAATTTACAAACTTTTCGTTGGTATCTAACAATAGCACTACAGTAATGCTTTTTTTTGGTTCACTGTGATCATTGCATGTAATTGTGAATGTAATGCTAAAACTCATAATCAATTTATGCAAATTTTTCAATTATTTTTTTTGCTTTTATAAACGTGAAAAGTGAAATACTTTACTGAAACTGTGAAAAAAAGCAATAAAAATTGATTTGAAAGATGATGACAACAAATGAATGGTTCGATATACTTCTGATGGCATAATATGAAAAATAAGAAAGCAGCTGTCGACAGACGGTTGTCCGTTCGTTCATTTTTTGTGCAAATTGAAGGTCGGTAAAGGTGAAAGTAGAACGCACAGGTGTATGAATAAATATTGCTAAATTATATGTTACAATTTTCACTTTTTTTTGAATTTAAAAAATTAAATTTACTTAAATTAGTTGATTCTATTTTCATAATGTAAAGACAATAATATATGTTATTAACATCCTTTGCAATCCATTCTTAGACTGATCATTGTTGATCTCAAAAATTATCGATGGTTGGGCAATTGTTGTCAGCAACGGTAATATTTAAACTGTGTGCAGTCATTACTTTTAGAAAAAATTGTATTTTATGCGAAATCAAATCATGTAAAAGGAAAAGTATTGGTAGTATAATTTAGCTGTTTAAATAAGGACTAAGTGTTTGTAGACTTGTTTTTCAGCTAGATGAATTTTAAAAAAAGAATTTAATTAATGAATAAACAATTTTACTACGAATCCAACAGTTATGCCTTCTGAAGAAATCAGGAAGATAGTTTCAACAAAACTGTATCCTTTATTTCTTAGCAAAAATTTTCATTTATTAATTAGAATCTTTATTTTTTTTTGATTGTTTATATAATTTTCACAATGAATACATTTCAAAATTCGCAAAACATTGCTAGTCTCAAAAGTTGCCATAAATTTGGCTGTAAAAAGTATTACAGAAATGATTGTTATGACAATATTATAACTACTAAATGTGTGCAACAAAATTATCATCAAATTTATGATAACAACAATTAAGCTACTGGAAATCGGATAATATTGGTAATATATATGTAAAACCAAACTAGTAAGCAAAAATGATTAAAGTTAGGACACAAAACCCTTTAAATATCTTTTTTCATTGCAGTAATCAACTTTTCACTATCATCTCCGTATATTACTTCAATTTTAGAAATCAATTTAAGTAAAAACTAGAATCATTAATAAGTTTTAGTAGTACTTTCAGTTACTTTCACATATATTAAATTTAATTATTTTATTACTGCTATTATGACTACTGTTATATTTATTTTGAAGTTGTTATCGTTATCCTCTACAATATCAATAAATTATTGTCATAATTACTTATTGTCATAACTATTAGTGACAAATATTTTTTCGATTGCTAATGAGATAAGTTAAGCTTCATTTGAAATAATACCAGATGCTAAATAGTAATCAACAACTTCAGCTATTTTCACGATTATTTTTTATAATTGCTTTTAATAATCTTATAAATTTTTCTAAGACGTCAATTTTCGCTCCTTGACCTTTAAGCTTTTGTTGACATTGGATCCCTTTCTGCTAAAAAAAACGCAATTCAACATGATGATTACAGCAATTTTCGCATTAATTTATGCAACAAATGCGCGAATCTCAATTCAAATTATAAGAAATAATAATTAGCAGTGTTGAGCAGAAAAAGGCCAAGACTGTTTCTCATAATCATATTTTTAATATTATTTCTTATGCTTAATCGCTGTCTGTCATCACTACGCATTAATTTTTACATACTTAATGCATTTTTCACATCATTTTAAAGCGGTTGTATGTGTGAAACTCAAAAAATTTATAAATTCAGAAAAATAAAAACTTCAACAAATATAACTGCGCAATTTTACTCGACTTTTATCACAACAAATGTCTTCAATTGCATAAATAACTACTTTAAGATTGCAATTGGCTGCAAGAAGGAAAAGTTGTACAATTTAAGCATTGTTGCATTCAGAATTATAGAACAAATTATTTCTGATCAGAACAAATACTTTCAATCTACATTATTGATTTATTATTTCTGATCAAAACAAATACTTTCAATCTACATTATTGATTTACTCGATTACACAGTAACCTTGAAACTACTTGCTATAATCTGCAAAAAATTTATGATTTTAAGATAATGTGAATTTCAAAGATACAAAAGCAATAATATTACATGACTGACTACATATTAGTAATTTACGCAAGTTAAGAAATAAATAATTATTTCGCCCATTTATCGTCTGTTTTAGTGATTAAAAAAATCTGAATGTTAGTAGTGTTATAATTGAATTAAATTATAATGATAAAAGTGGACAACACAGTAAAAGTTTTTGTCACTTCAAAGCTAATTTGTTCGGAAAGTAATTTAGTCAATTAAAATTTCAGTCGCCTGTAAATAAGAAATAATTATATGTTAAATACAATTGAATAGAGATTATAATAATTGTCCAGCTACAATAACAACAATGAAGTTAATTTTGTTGTTATTATTGTCGTTGGAATTGGTATAAAAATACTTTTAATACAATAATAAAATGCGTCTTCGGTGAAAATTCTCATTTCCATTCATTCTTTCATTCAAGTCCATCAGATAATTTCAGTCATATCTTCTGCTAATTGATGTAAAACTCTAAAGAAGGTTATCCATTCATCACTATATAATATGAAATAAAATTTTGCAGAAAATTATCGTTGCTAAGATGAATATGGTGTGAAGACTTTGAAAAAAAGAAGGAAAAAACCTTATTTTTTAATAACTTGCAGAAATTTGAGGGATTATTGTAAGAACTAATCCTCATTATCAATCAGTCTACAGTAACAAAAATTTTAATGAATTATTAATTAATTAAACTGAAATTGAGTGTAATTTTCTCATTTCAAACACAATAGCAGACTACGTGAAATATAAAAATAGAATTAACTTTTATAATTTATTTATAAATCTTTCAAACCGTACATTTGTAATAAAATTCCAGCGCATAATTCTTACTTATTCTTTGCAAAAATCTCCTGACGACGTCACTACGCGATTTTTTGATCAGAAAAAGTTGATCTCACATTCAACAAAATGCATTCATATCTCAAATGTGTTAGTAGACAATTAATTGCCAAGCAGATTCATTCTCACTTTTTATGGAAAGCTATTCAAATAGCAATAATTTCAGCAAGAATCTTATAAATTCGTATTGTTTTTTAAAAGTAATCACAGCATACTAAATTACTGCATTTAAAATCGCTTCTCTTCTTACTTAAATAATAATATTATGAACATTCCAAGCGACACAGCATTGTTTTCGCTTCTTTCTACCTGCTTCTGCTCAGATTATTCAAGCATTTAGTAACTTCGATACAAGCAAAAGCTACACACAAAGCATCGCTCTTTTTGTGCAGATAATATTATGGGGGATAATAATTCTGAAAGCTTAGTCAATACTTTTAATACTTTGGTTGTTGTGTGTTAAAATTTGCTGTTCCAAAAAAAGCTGTAGTGGAAGATTAAATAAAATCAGAAGAGTAGAAAAGGATAAAGTGGCAAATACATTTTATATTATCAAATGAAGAACAAAAAATATATAGCAAAAATGTGATTAATACTTTAACTATAAATAAAATGCTTTTATAATAAAGCACTAAATAAATTAAACATTTTGCTTATATATTTCAGTTCATTTAAAATAGAAAAGTTTTATTTGTTTCAGAATTTTTTGAATACTTAAATAATGAAAAATTGTAATGGACTACAGCTCTTAACGTAGGCAGATTTCGGATAAAATTAAATCCCATAGCTTTTAAAGATTTAATTCATTTATTTCAATTGAAAGCCTTTTATTCTAGACTAAATGAATGGCAAGTATACATGCCTTTGCTCATTTTTTCTTCATTTGCATAATTTTCTTCAGTTTATCAAATTCAAAATTTCCATCATTCTTTTTTATTTTTGCTTCTAAAAATCTGTCAGTTAAAAGAATTTCTGCAAATAATTTAAGTTGGTTAATCGATAAAGATATTAAGCATACTTTTTATTATATGATAAAATGGTATCATTGCGGATATTGTTTATTATACTGAAAAATATTTTCTTGCTCTAATAAACATTGTTAGAATTTTGCTAAAATTCAAGTGAAAAACTTGAGATTCAAATAATTAAACTTGTTTTGTGTAGTGCTTTCAGGCAATCTAGTTGTGGAATTTCAAGTTTTGATTTGCGGTGAAAATGAAATGATCATTTCCATTATTATTTTAATTTAATATTTTTATTTCACCAAAATTGAATCCAATTGAATGTTTTGGAAATTCAATAATCGTATAGTGCAATTAATGCTAACTTATTTTGTAGCGCTAAACGAATCACCAAAACCTGTCGTTGAATTTATGTTTTCGGTAGAGAAGGAAACTACTTATGACAACAACTTATTATTACAAATATGTGGAAAAATAAACATCTTGTAGCGGTAACCTTTTCAAGTTACAAAGGTTAAGAGATATGGATTGAAAAGGTCAAGAGCTGTATGCTGTCACATAAAACAT